TGGATGAAACTCACTAAACTGGGAGATACATTTTTTTTATTGTTTTCAAATAATAAAGCATTTATGATAACATGGAGATTTGTGCAGTGCAGATAAACAGATTTATTACTGTGTGTAATGTGGAGGGAATGAAAATGTAGGGAAATAAATTCCAACATCTTTATCTCCTGTGGAAAATCCAAAGACACAATAAATGTATGCAGATATATGCCAGAGAGGCAGGAAGACAGAAATCAACATATTTATGGGAAAATGTGCTCTTAATTTTAACAAAAAAATTAAATAAGGAAAATAGAAACTATCTTTACTACTTATTTGACTAAAATCTATCGATGTTTCCAGATGGCACACGTAGCACCTGTAGTGCTGAAATGTGTCTGCTGCTGCCGCTGCGCTTTATCAATAAACCAAGATGGATCTGCCCTGTGAGCTTCTCCGACTCATCTAATTTATTGGAGCCTACACCCATCCTGAGATGTTGGATAACTTTAATGATATCATATCAGGCTGTGCACACTTCTTCTCCTTCTGTATCAACTCAACGTGATTCTATAAGAAATTCCAGGGGTCAGATGCATGAAATAGATGATTTGAGACAAGAAAAGTTGTGTATGCTCAAAACTAAAAACATGCATTCCCGAGGTTCCTGAAACCTTGCCTTTGTAAAATGTTTTTACCAATTTTCACAGTAAAATATTATTTTCCCTCTAGACTCACTTGAACTGATCTGAATTATATTTAGCCGTACATCAAAATATTGTTTTTGTTTTCTGCTGCCATTCATTATGGTTTGTAGTAAACTATGTACACAATTAGATTTTTACTCAGATCTTTCAGTATTTTATTTTTTTTTATAAACCCTATTTTTACTTCTTGGTTTTTGTTTTTCTTTATTTATATGAGCTAAAAATGAATGAGATCAAGCTATGCAGAGTTCATAGTCTCCACCATAAATGAACAATGACACACATCTACTGAACCTGCTCTGAGCATAAACTTAAATCATCGTCATATGCCAGAAAACAAGACGAGCTCTGTCCTCAGGCTTGCATAGTCAGCATACACTAACAGCCCCGCGGCAGCCATTGTATCATTACGCACCATTACATACTGCGAGTTATAACAGCCTTGTGATTGATCATTCAGGAGCAGGTATAATTTATGATCTGATGTGTGTTTTACTGCACGTTTGGACTGACAATGTGGAAAGATATTTACTCCTGCTGGAATAAGAAGCATGCTTGTAGAAGTGACAATGTGTGAAACTCCCTACTACTACTGAGCCCTTGTGACTCAACTTTGTGAACAGATTAAAAGGACACTGAGGAGTTTTTGACCTCTGGTAGCACGGCATGGCAATACTTTGATTAGCGAGTCCCAGAGTTGTTTGCATCTCGTGTTCTACCAGCATGAATCAAATCAGATCTTGTAATGTTCACGATTAAAATGGCACAGCTTCGGAATAATTTGCTTTTACATCTGTTTTAATAGTGTTTTTACATAACTAAGAACAAATACTGTCAATGCATAGGCCTAATAAGTGTATGTAAATGTTAACATCTAGCATCTAGATGTTGTCCACTGTGCCCAATTTTTGATGTATCCCTTTACATTTTCTCTCCCCCTGACCCTTTTCGGATCGGCAGACTATCTGTGTTTTGTGATTTAAGTCCAATTTCCATATCTTATAGCTGTCTGTACACACTGATGAAAAAATGTGTGCGTCTACCATGACATCTTTTATTAAATACCAATTTCTGAGTCTAAAGGGGCATATGCATTGTTTTTGTGCGTATGTATCATTTATTCATCCGCCCGCTGGGCATCACAAGATGCACGGAGCAGCACTTGTCTTTCCTGTCAGATATATCTGCCCTCTAGTAATTTGAAATTCCACCTTCCCCAAAATCACTCGTCTCGCCACACACGCTTGTTCACACCCAACCACCCCTCTTACTCTCTCCTGACCCCTTTTCCTCCATCTACTGTATCTCTTTTCTTCTCATTTCTCACACACGCAAGCTTGTGCCAAGTTGTTAAATCTGAGCTCTCCATCTCCTTTCCCATACACACAGAGGTAAACAATATAGCAAAAATAGCATTCATCTCTGCATCCATCTCTGATTCTGGGCTCAAAGATGAGGATCCTTTGGCAGGAATTTCTCGCTCTCTCTCTCACACACAGATACACACTGTCTTTCTATCTAAACACACAAATTGAATCTGTGGTCTTGACAGAACAAGGAGGACGAATAAAAATCACCTCATTACGCACTCCCTCACACATACACATCCTCTCACACAACCTCACACACATGCACATACGCAGACAGACATTCACAAACAGGTCATTCACATGCATTAGGGATGGAAATAGAAAAGTCTTGAATCCTTGTCAGACGTCATTTGGTGTGTAAATGCTGACAGACGAGGGCAGGAGGCCACATGTGACTCGAAGATCACAGGCGCTGTTTGGCAGAGAGAAGACGGGACTAATGGAGGGATGGACGGAGCAACAATGGAGCGCACAGTTGTGGAGATTGAAATAATGATGATTATGATTAAACTGATGAATGATGAAGGTCACAGTGACAATATAAGCGATGAAACTGATGATAATGATAATGTACTCTCAGTCTTTATCTTGTCCCTCCCCTCAATGATGAAGACCATGATTTTACAGCTGCACATGAACGTCAATGGTCTCTGTGATAACTCCAGGTTTGACTGAAGCCATCTCACAGTATGACCATGATTGCAATTTAATATCCAACGTGCAGCTGAAGAGATTTTCTTGTCATTGTAACAAGATCTGCAAAATCTCCGGCTGTTAATTTAGTTTCAAGTATATTTATTTGTGCACAGCTGTGATAGAATGGAGCAAGGCAGGTTTCAGGGGTGTAATTTGGATAATGTGAATCCTTTATTTATTAACAAAATGCAGAGAAAATCTTTCTCTCATGAGGTTGAGATGTTAAGCCAACAATAAACATATTTTGGCCACATGGAAGTTTTGGCCACAGTAGAAACAAGTTATGACATCACCTTTTAAAATTACTCTGTACATATACCTGAACACCGGTCACTGTGGCTTTAAGTGGGTAATGGTTAATGCAAAATGTAACGTAACAGTAATACAAGTAGATAAATGACAGTTGCGATATCTATGAGAAGTTGGCTAAAATTAGCTAACATTAGCCACCATAAGCTACTGGTCATACCAGGCCAAGTACGTTTCTCACTGAAGACAGCAGCCTGTAAAACCAAAAAAAAAACCCTTACAGTGTCAGGAGATAATTCTCTGTAAATTCATCGCTACAAGCAGTAGGTGAAATGAGGGGGAATTCCATTGCCCCTTGTTAGCAAAATGAATTAAATGAGTCCCCTTTGTTAACCTGCCCCCTCTCCAGCCCCCAGTAGCAGAGAGACTGCAGCGACAGAGGGGTTGTTAAGTTGAATATGATGCTCTAGTCTGCCTGACTCATTGATACATTATCTGACTGAGTTTTTTGCAAGTTAGACTCCATGGCCACAATCATGGCTCTGAAATATCAGTAGCCTAACTGGGCTGAGTATTGACAGATTTGTTGCGTTATTTTTCTCTCAGTCTCGCCCTTCTGTCAGTTTCGTCTTGGATCTATAATATTATCTAAACAGTACTATAAATACTGAATTCTATACTGTTTTGTATGATCAAAGTGACAAGTAGCAATGTGTAGTCATGGGACCATCCCCCCATTTAAAAATGAACAAATCACTGACTGTGAGTGACCTCTTTCACATACAAATCATGTTGCCCATTGTTAATATAAACATATTGATCCTAGCTGCTTTTATCATAGCACAAATTACTAGATAAAGGCTCTTTCAAAGCCTTCTCCATGGTGTGTAGAATGTGACTACTCTGAAGAGGAGAGAGGGTCTAGGTGGTCAGATGGTCTATTAATAGAGGGTGTTGTGTGCTGTATAGATTATAAAGCAACCTGAGAATAATTTGTGATATTGGGCTGTGTAAAGAAAATTGACTTGACTAGACTTCAGTGTCCTCAGTAATAGCTGTAGCTCTGTGCCTTGACTGTCAGGATAAATCTACTGAGATGCTGTTGAGCAAGGCCCTTAACCTGCCTTAAACACTGATCCACACTGCTCAGTGAGCAACAGATTGTCGTTGTACTGGACAGCTTCCAGGTGTGAATGTGTGCAACTCACAACTTAACAATATAAATTTGAGAGAATTACTTCAGTAATTTAAAGAAAAAACACATCCACCTGACCAACCAATTACAACTGCTAACCAGCTGCTAATGTTCTCTGTGCTGTTCTCTGTGCTCCTCCCTGCGTCATGTGATGAACTGCATTTCTTACTGCTACGCTAATGTGATGCTTATGTGAGACAATATTGGGGTAAAAACAGATCTTGGGATGTTCCAAAATATACATACTGTCATCATAATGTAATGTTCAATAAGGTAAACATGGTAAATGGTAGCATTATTAAAGCTTTAAGCTGTGTGTACATTGAGCATCATTCTTTTTCTGTTACAAATCCTGTCGTCCTTGGGTGGCTGCAACCCTTAAACCTTTGACAGCTCACAATTTCTCATAAAGGGAAAAGAAAATATGATTTATTTTGTCCCTCTCACACACACACAGTCACACAATACGAAATACACTCTCATATTTGTGTCATGGATGTTTTCCCAAAGGAAATAAAGGGTAAATCACATGATGAATATCCTGTTTGCTCTACTGCGCGTGTGTGTGTGCACGTGCAAGTGTGCATTTGTATGACTGCATGCAAGCCTTTTAAGAATACTGTAGGTGTAAAGTTTGTTCTTAATGTTTGCTGCATGCCATCTTGTGTCTGGACCGTTAAAGAAATGTTTTGTATTCTGCTGATGTCTTCCTATCCAGAAGCAAAGGTTTGAGTACAGAAGCAGAGAGAGAGAGGGCAGAATGGAAAACAGACAGAGGCAAAGAGGAAGGGGAAAACGTTTTACCTTTGCAAATGGAGGACCTCTCTCAACCAGCTGAGCCTTCAATCTCGGCTTGCTTTTCACATGACTATCAAAAAGAGAGAAAAAGAAGGGGGGGGGGGGGGGGGGGCAGGAAGGGGCGGGTGGAGACAGAGGGTGGTTAGAATGACAAAGGTGAGAGATTTCTGAAAATCGTTTGGCAGCAGCACAGACTGACAGTCTGCCACATTAAAAACCCCAAACAGGGACAGCTAAGCAGCATCGGGAAAGAAAAAACCAGGAGTGGAAATTAATTTTGGACTTTTACCCTGATTACTGTGAGAAAGTGAAAGTTGTAAAAAATAAAAATGGATTTATATAACACAATTAATAGGACACCTCAAAGCTCTATGTGTGTCAGAGGGGGAAGAGAGAGACTGAGAAATGGGACACAGAAGAGAAAAAAGACAGGGATTGTTGAAAAAAGGGCTGTGCAAAGAGAAAACAGGGGGATTCCCATTAGAGAGACCGATGAAGGAATGGCTGAGGATGACAGCAATATCTGACAGTTGGCAAGTCCATGATGGACAGAGAGAGGGAGATGGAGAGAAAGAGCTCCTATTTCCAAGGCTAATACATGGCTGTGTGAAAAAAACAATCTCATATGGAGAGAGTTTACAACCTTCTCTCTCCTCTGTGTCACGTTCACCCTCAAGTGTCAAGTAGACCGCTGTGTGTGAGTTTGTCTTTAGTCTGTAAATGGGATATAAAAAGTCTTTCATAATTTAGACGTTGGACGAAAAAGTAAAAGAAAGCCTAGTAAATAAAACGACCTGTTAATGTAAAGTGGTGCTATTTTTTTTCTAAGCCTATTCAACACCTCCACATCACAGACTTCACAGAAAATGACCACAAACTTGATATAACACATGGACACAGCATAATCAACTGTTTTCTGACTGTTGCTTTCTGTTCTGGCACAATACACACTATAGGCTATGCAGTTTACAGTATAATGCTGATTTACCACTCAACATATTTAGTTCACACAATGTGTCTTTTTCACGCGTAAACAAACACTTGTTATTCCTTGTGTATTTTGTCAGCTGAAAACTGTTGCTATAGCTAACTTTTTTCAGCTGTAGCTAGCTAGTGTAAAATAATACTAAACCTCTATGGGTAAAATTCAATCTCCAGCTGTTTTTGCTGATTTGTTTTAAAATAAAAAGCCTGTAAATTCAGATTCTGACCCTGTCCCCAGCGTCCCCAGCGTAAATGACACCTATCTGTCAACACTTTTAAATGTCCCGCCCCATCAGGCTGTTATTGGTCGGTTCACGATAAGTGACATTAACGAGCTGCATTCAGCAGCTCTTGAAAGACACCCGAGTAAAAGTTAAAGTATTATGTTATTGCGACATGGCTGCTGACAGATACCATGTAAAATATAAGCCAAGAGTGTAACATTGTCACTGTTTCTGTACCATAGTCCATTATAAACCACATAATAGATGAAATTTATACAAAAGCACAAACACAAACACAAACATTGACGAGGAAAACACGTTAATTCTCTCTGTGATTATGGACCCTCGCCAACACCGCCTGCCAGCAATAATATATGGGCCGCTTTATTATGAGCATGTGAAACAGTGTCTTCATAATTAAACTGAAGAGGGAAAAAAAATGTGCGACTCCCTACGTGGGATCAAACATGCTACTTTATAATCGAAAGATTTGCGCTTTACTGACTGAGCTAACCTAAAATCGTGACATTCAATTAAAATTTTATGTCTTATATTCTCACCCCATCTAACGGATAAAAAAATGCTCCGATGCAAAATATATTTTTCGACCCCTGCTGTATATTATTATTTTTGTTTTTCTTCTGTGAACGTACGTATCTCTGTAGAGCAGTTTGTCCGTTTTGGGTAAATGTAGAAACATGGCAATGGGGACCTGTTATGTAGATAGAAATTAGTCATTCTAAGGTAATAAAAACACAATGATTGATTTTGTAAGGTCTTTATACACCACTGGAAATTAGTTAGTTATGGATATTAGATTGCAATTCTGTCAGTAGATCCTCAGAAATATTACACACTGAACCTTTAATGTTTGCATGAAGGAATAACCAACTTTGGAAAGTGTGACACGGTGTAGTGTAAACTTCCCCAAACCAAATTAAGAGCTATTACATTATGATGCAGAGGATGTTCCAGTCCTGAGCAGCTCTTTTCTAACAAACCCCACAAAATATTGTAGCTAGCTAATGACCTGCCCCTTGCCTATGTAAATAACATTAGGTTACTTTAGTAGGCTACAATAGTTAGCCAGGTATGCTACATATAATTTAGAGCAGACAGACACACTGTTTAATCTATTCCTGACAATTTCAATCAATCAATACAAACAGACAATCTAAAATCTTTCTACAGCCACTAACATGTTGAGAAATCCAAAGCGTGACAGGCATGCTGTTCCTATCTATGATTACTATGATAAACTAGGATTAGACAGTCTCTGTTAAGGGTAGGGGTTTAGCAAATGATTAAGTTGTTGCAGGGATGTTGAAATCTATATATTAAAAGGTGTATATGATATTTTGTCCACCCTGTCACTCTATTAAACCTATTCCTCATGATAGTGTTATTTGATTCCTTTGCAGCACGTTTCCAAATCCCGTCTTTGCAGAATTACATATTAGATTTAGAAATCATGAAATAATAATATGAGCTAAATAATGTGATTATCAACATTCTGTAGGACAATTCATTGCAAATTTACTGAATGTTTATATTATGCATGCAGAATTCTGACTAGTCTAGTCTTCTGTCAAGATGCTTTTCTGTATCATAATCTTTATGGTGTAATTTGGCAAACAAAGGTTGTCATCTGAGCAAGTAAATTACATTTGATGGCATTTTCCTGACATAATTACCTGTTGTAGGTACAGGACAGACATGTTGAATCAGGCAGTATTTTTAGCTTCAGGCAAAGGAAAAGTAAACGTTAGATACTCTTGCAAGATTGAATGTGAATATCTCTCATCCCCTCTCTTATGTATACCATAAACTGATCTCTAGTTCCCCAAAATGACACATATACTACTGTATCCACATGTCGCTAACCACATCTACTATTAGGTCTTTCGGGGCAAGTTGAAGTCAAGTCTCAAGTCATTTGAGACACGTCTAAATGAGGTCTCTCAATCTCTCTCAGTCTTGAGTATAGAGGTTCATTTTAAATCCTAGGACACTTGCCGATGTAATTCCAGTGCAAATACATTGAATAGTCCGTGTTTTTTCTATGTTGCTATTTTCCCAACCATTCTGGAGTCTTACATCCGTGTTGGCCTAAAACTTGAGCATGAAGGTTGTAAAAGGAAGTCACAAGTCTCAAATCCATGACACGAGGGCAAGTCAAGTCAGAAATCTTTTATAAAAGATGGGAAAGTCAAGATGCAATACTGTTAGGACTCTCACAGGTCTGTCTTAATACACAGTATTCAAAGATGTGGTATAGAATCCTAGTCCTAATAAATTAATATTTGGTGTATGTGTATGGCAATATTGCAGAATTTTACCAGGTCAAAGCTTACTTAAATGTTTTTGCCTTCAAGTCTCAGGTCTTTAGGGAGTCAAGTCCCAGAGTAGTCAAGTCATTAGGTCCAATAAAGCTCTAGTCTCTACCTTGAGCTAAATCAATTAAATATGTTGCTACTTGCACATTCAAAAGAGAAAAAAAAGAGAATAATTATGGAAATAAACAGCCTTGCTATTTAACTTAACATACAGCAACACACACACACACACACACACACACACACTGCTGCTATGCTTTTTTATTAGCAATAGAGCTGTTTGAGCCTTAGGATGTAAAGATGGAGATAACCAACACGGTGACAGAGAGAGAGAGACAGACTTAATGAGGAAGAGAGGGATGCTAGGAAACAAGAGGAGGCCTGAGTGAAAAGGCAAGATAGATAACAAAAAGACAACTGAATGACATGTGTAGCCATAATAATGTGTTTGTGTGTGTCCATGCAGTCCTATGAGCCTACTGGACAGAATAAACATCCCTGAGCTCCCGTGCTCCGAGCTCTACTGTAGAGATCAGCTTTTTTATCACAAACATCACAAACGTTCTTTAATCACTGCAGGCGATGAAGACAAATGCAAATACACAACTGTAGACACAAACTGTATCATGAACCTTGAAGACAGTTTTGTCTCAGACGTTGTTTTTGGCTTCAGTCCACCTGGCCATTATCGACTTCATTTGACATTAAAAACTTGTTGAAAACTGCACAAATGAAAATCATTCAGGTGAAGCAGCATGAAGTGGAAGAGGAAACAGAGATAAACTAAAGAGAAAGAAAGGAAAAAACACAAGGGGAGAGATGGATGTAGACCCTGCGGAAAAACAAAGAATAACTAAAAACAGAGGCTCTGATGCATTACTGCTGGCAAATTAGCTAAACATAGAACTACTACTGAACAGTCACATACGCACACACACACACACACACACACACACACACACACACACACACACACACACACACACACACACACACACGCGCGCGCACACACACACACAGCACTCTTTAGCTATTCCTTGTGCATCAGCAGTGCATTTTCTCCTCTGTGGTCCCCTTGACTATGAATGGAGAGGAGAGCAGAGAGAGGAACTTATCCTCACAGACAACAGTCTGTAAAGGCTAAAAACACAGTGACCAGCGAGCCCAGGAGCAGTGTGAATGAGTCAGACTCAGCTGGTCTCCATCAGTGGGAGGTCTGCAGTGTGGGATATCTGATTTGTTGTGAGAAAAAAAGAAGACAAAATCAGGCTGGCCACAGGCATGCTCAGGTCACCCTGATCAGCTTCAGTCAGACTCTTCTTAATGTGATATATCTTGACTGCTAAGCAACATATGTATTGTATGTGTAATTTACCATGTAATATGTGTTACTTGTAATACCTGACAATGAGGGAAGTCAAAGTAAAAATGTGAATAAAATATAATCTGCTGTTAGTGATCATAACAAGGAAAACAGTATGATTTTGTAAAAACGGATCAGATGGATTTTCAGAATTATTATGTCA